TATATATCATGGCTTTCCTATTGTCAGTTTCTATCTAGGTTGACCGACCGAGCGTCTGAACGTGTGGGCATCTGAGTGATTGCAACACGGCTGTATTACTGTGGATATCGAGGTTGTACATGGGCTGGGATACTTCCTGGGCACTCACAGCTAGACAGGATGGCGATCAGGGTCCTCGATCTAAGCCTTCGGTTAAAAAGTCTGAACGCAACGAAGAGTTGTTTGACGAGGGCCCATCATAATCCCCTCCCTGCGCGTTTTATATTTTCACTTAAGGGTTTTAAAGATGATTACGTAAACATTTTGCAGTTGTATCAATGGCGTTGCGGTTTGTGATGATGACGGCTTGTGTGTCCCGGTTATGCATGGCTTTTAGATAGCCTTATCATCCATGTGCATCATTTGAAGCTATAAACATCACAAACTGGTGTCTCAGCCGGAAGAGTCACGTACTTTGGTTGTACGGGAGTGATTGTCGTGGCATTAAGAGGTATCTGTAAACATTGGAGGTATGCGAAATTCGTGAGAAAAGATATTACTTGGAAAATCTCGGGAAAGGGTTCCACCAAGGTAAGAAAACCGTATCCTAAAGCACTGCGCCAATGAAAACGCACAGCAAGGCGACGAACAATTATTTCTGAAGGTGGTGCACACGTGACGTCTCATCCCACGGACATAGAAAATTATACACAACTGGCCTCAATGATATGTTCAGCTGCATGTGTGACAAACCCTAACACGAAGACCTACGTGGCTGGCTTCCCTTCCTGCTGATCATGCAAGATAAATTACGTGGGCAAGGTTCTAGCGATGAGACTGTCGTATGAACTGTCGCGTATGAACACCAATACGTGTTGGGCCCAGCTGCTTCGCATGACAAAGGTCGAGAGAAATTAGACCAAAAAGTGCTCCAGAACTAGGATGACGATTGACAGTGACCAAATGATGTGTACCTTTTTTACCCGGCTTTAGTTCACCGGTGGACTTGTCTTCGTAGAATTCACGAATATCCACAAACGTTCGACCTTTGAACTGTCGCACACTGACGAACTTCTTTCCCGTCAGATCGATCATCTGGTCTCCATCTGCGTTCTTCGTACGTTTAGCTGAGGATTCTCCTGAAGATGTGGATTTCTTGGCGCTGGTTGATTTTTTTGCTGGAGGTGACTAATCATAACAAAAATGGGTAATAATCAAAGTCAGATTAATACCTCGTCCAAGTCACTGAGGGAGTCATCATATGTATCAGCACCCTGACGTTTCTTGGCAGACATCTGTAGCTGAAAAACAGTGAAACAGCTGAAACAGTGAACAAAGTAAAGTCCAAGATTAACAGAGAGAATTCGAGGTCAGCTGTTGGTAAAACTGCAAATCTGTCAGATACGGTAGCGCGCAGTCACATGGGGAGCCACGAGGAAATTCGGTGAGTGGCTTGTATTATCAAGGATTTCAACATCGGTGGTGAACCTAATGCACCGACGCAGTAGAAAAAACGGCAACTGCCTAGTACTAGTCAACCCAAACACCCGTACGTGAAAAGACAAAAAACAGGGCACAGAACAAATAATTAGGAGTGACCGGCACCACCAGCTCTGCAGTGCAGCGAGCGCAAGTTTATGCAGTCCATGGACTCCCGTACTTCCATTAATGGTGCACCATCAGTCAAGGTTGAAGCCAATAGCTCTGGAGCGAGTGCCAGGGTATACGTGAATTCGTAGGCCTGGGCAACCTGACGGTATCCCAGCCGTCGTGCTTCCTTCTGGTGGCATGAAACTTAGACACTGAAAGGTTGCGAAAGCTCAACGATTATTTGCTTACCATTGTGCCTCCATCATAATGATCGACAGCATGACATCAGTATTCAACATAGATGCTTCGCTACCGTACAACCAAGATTTACTTGAAAACCTTATTGTGAAGAAAAGAATAAAGGTAGATCGAAAAGGGGCTTAGTGCTAGCTTATTACAATCATTCCCGGGTGCCTACACCTCCAGACACTCATTCAGGCAATCTGGATAGAAAATGACAAGAACGACACTGACATTGACTGGCAGCCATATCTTGCAGCATCTCCAGCCAGGCGCATCTGGAATCACGCGGTTCCCATTCTGAAAGGCGAGTAGCACCGACACCACCCAAAAGTTTCGTAATCTCCCTCATGCTCCTCTGCCCACCTCTCTGAGTTGGGCACTCTCTTCGGCAAACGATGGTTGGGCATACACGACACGTCCCGACCAACGGGGCTTCTGGTGCTGAGAACACTCTTCAATGAAAGTATCCGTTGCACAACCGAAAACTCACTTTCTGATTACCTCAATACAGATTCTCCGACACCAAACTACACGATGTATGGTCCCGAAACAAACACTTGAAGACGTCTCAATTCTGTTTCTTAAACAGGCCAAGTCCCAAAGAGCGCTAATATACTGATCGGAAGGTCCGTGGTTTGAACCCGATCTCTGCCTCTAGACTTATCCTTGTCTAGGCTTGGGCAACCTTAGCCCTCGGGCTTCCTTCGGTTTGCATGGCAGCTAGGCACCGATAGGTCGTTACAGCTGAACGATTTATTATCACTGAACAACCTCAGTTGTCCGGGACAGACTCTTTTTCCCAAATTCAAGCAAGCAGATCAGACAAGCCGTGAGTGAGCATTTCCCCCCACCTTTGAACAATGTGGGTGGGAGGTCATCAGGACCAGAAGTTTAGTGACGCTTGAAAGAACAAATACAGTCGTAAGCCTTGAGGACATAAGCGGTTTCACGTTCGCCATCGAGGGTTCTACGTCAACTGTAGACCTTAGATGGGTGGTAGCTGGTGGCTATTAATATTTGGCGAGATGGCTCAGTGGTTAGAGAGCGAACTTACCAACCGGAAGGTCTATGGTTCGAACCCGACCTCTGCCTCTCGACTCCCCCTGTCTAGGCTTGGGCAACCTGACAGTATCCTAGCCCTCGTGCTTCCTTCGGGTTGCATGGCAGCTAGGCGCCGAAAGGGTGCCACAGCTGAACCATTAATAGGAATATCCGGCTCACCAGCGGGGGCGTTATTTATTCATGAAGGTCACTCCTTTCCGATTCTTGATGGTTTCGCTCAAATATGGCTCCCGGAGACCGGTCGCACAATTAACTGAAATAATCTTCAGACATTGCCGGCTTTCTAAGTCTCTTTCATTTCCTTGGCTTTCTCTGTTCACCACACTTCATGGTTGGCTCGCACGCTCACCTTCACTTAACGACTGGTAATTCGTCGTGTGTTTGGGAGTTGTTGGGATATTTCTGCGAGACTTAAGCAGTGCCACCGTTCGGTCTGATATCCGATGCTTGGGCGGTTCAAGTGGTTAGAGCGCGAATTTACTCTCCGGAAGGTCCATGGTTCGAACCCGACCTCTGCCTCTCAGTTTCCCCTGTCTAGATTTGGGCAAACTGGCAGTATCCCAGCCCTCGTGATTCCTTCGGGTGGCTTGGCAGTTAGGCACCAAGAGTGTGTTGCATATGAACGATTAGCTTATTGAGTGCGGCTGGTGGAGCCGTGTCACAGGCGTAAGAGGTGACAATCTCGTCCCAGCATGAGTTGACATCGAATGGCAAAGCATTTAGAGACTCTAGAAGACAATTCTTTTGAGTCCCCCGTGAAAATCAAATTGGCTTGCAACTGAGTGTATTTGTCGCAATCAGTCCAATTTGAGTAAAAGCAGAATGTAAGGTTGACGGAAACTCGGGGACTGCGCCCACCTGATGAGCCCCAAGAAGGGCGAAACCGGTCGTGGGCTGTCGAATAGTTTTCAGCAAACTTGTGAGTAGTTTCCTTTATGAAAGTATACTGCGACGTCTTGAATATCATACGAACATGAAGCGGCTTTTGTGCAACAAAACTAGAGATCCACTTGAGTATCCCGTATAAACCAAATTGATTTGCAAAGGATTGTACTTGTCGAAATTCTGGTCTGTCTAACGTTCAGATCTACTGGTCTCTCAGTTGCCAAACTATTTGTCCGCACCTAATGTGGCCTTGGAATACGTAGGGAAAAGCAACTCCGGACAAGCGCGTGGTCGGAATCCACAAATGTGTTCCGAAACGACAGACAGTCAGATATTGATCCGTATCATCGGCAATGTGACTGATTTGAGTTTGTGGCCGGTAGGCCGTTGAACAATATATGGCCAGACGACTCCGGCTATTTCAGAAGTTAGTACTCCATAAAAACAGCCTGCGATCAGCACACAGCTGAAAAAATCGTTCGTCAATGTCCGTACGTACCGAGCCCAATCCATGTCGGCTTCCTAAATCAGTATCCGATACGCTAAGCCTGCCCACCTGTGCATACATATCTCCGGTAATGATATCTGAGCTTTTAGCTCGCCGCAACAAGGCATCCAGGGTGTCCTAAAACTTGTCTTTGACAGAATCGGAGCTACAGTCAGTTGGGGCGTAAGCAGGCACGATGAACAGACATCGTTCAACTTCCGGCTTGTGAGACGGCGAGATGAGTCAGTGGTTGAAGCACGAATTTATTGGCCGAAAGTTCCGTGGTTCGAACCCGACTTCTGCCTTTCGACTTACTCCGTCTATGCTTGAGGAACCTGGCAGTAACCCAGCCCTCGTGCCTCGTTCAATTGGCATGGCAGCTGGGCGCCGAAAGAGTGCTATAACTGAATTATTTTTATTTTTTAACAGAAACCTTTGGGTCAAAAGCTTTACCGCAAGGTAGTGACGTTACTATTTCTACGGAACAAGTCGCCAAGTTTTCCAGCCTGCAACCCGGAGGACCAGAAGACTGTGTTCGTCAGACATCTAACCATTGACCAACCTGTTATGAGAGACAGTGTCGTGGGGGCACACCCCAGTATTTCTCAGTGGGTCGCTGTGGTGCGCAAGCCGTCACACTACGGTATGGTTTAGTCTCTTGGTGAGGGACTGCGCCTACGAGAAATGATATTTGGAATCCCTGCGACCATGTCCAACGAGTCATTTCAGAAATGACTTCACACAGCGATTTGGCATACGGGCAAGAGGCTGCGGAACTGGAAACCTCCCGTCCGTTTTTATAATGCATGTATGGGATTTATGCTTATCGGACCACAGCTGGCACTTGCTATAGTGTTGTCTCGCGACAACGGGTGAAAAATAGGCGAAGTACTTCGTGAGTGGCTCGAAGAGGTCCACCTTCCCATCTCCTTAGAAGGGAGCGATTTTCACGCAAATCTAAAAACTGGTGACCAACTAACGGCCGGCATCTACCGGCCCATCAGCCTCACCAGCGTATCGTGCTAAGTGATGGAGCGCATTCGGAAACGAGCCATCTTAGAAAACCTTACTTCCAACAAATTGATGTCTCCCAAACCGTTCTTGTGTGACGGGCATTCTCGTATTTATGGGCAACATAACCCAAGCTAAGGGCGGACTTATATTGGATGCCACGTTTTCCGACTTCTCAAAAGCAATCGACCGAGTCCCACGAGCCCCACTGCTCCACAATCTCAAATCTTACCGGATCCAAGGAGAGATCATACGATGGATTAAGGCATCACTATCAGACAAAACATTCCGAGTGAAAGAAGGCTCGACCTACTCTTCTCCGGCGCCGGTCTCCATCAGTGTTCCTCAAGGCTTTGTTGTGGCACTACTTCTGTTCATGATCTACGTCAGTGATCTTCCAGACGTTCTTTCAAGTCCACATCTACTTTTTGCGGACGACTTGAAATCCTAGGATTCAAATGCCAGTCCCCTCCAAATGAGTACAGACGTTGCAAAGCAATGATCAGGCTGGAAACTGATAAGAAGTGCATCCATGTCATTCGGAGAAAACTTCCTTGGCGTACAGACTTTTAGAGGAGAGATGCCAAAAAGGATTTCGGTATCTGGCTCCCTTCAAACATGTCCTTCTCACCGCATTGTGAAAAATCAGCTCGAAAGGCTTCGCAGTTCTACGGAAGATTTGGCTCACATTCAACCGTATTACTCGCATGTATTTCCCGAAACTCCATGGGTCCAATTAGAGACCACCTGAATATTTCAACCAAGTAGACTAATCAGGAAGCAACAAAAACCTAACCCTCACTGAGCGCGTCCGACAAGCAGCTACGAAAGAGGATCCTGGCCTTATATCTGTGGACTATGAAACGAGTCCCGCGGTGCTTGACCCCTTTACCCGAATATCACTATTACAACAACCACGTAATTTATCTTTTCCCTCCAAAAATCCAAAATATCTTCACCGTTCACTTTCCACTACTACATACGCTTCTAGTAATGAACTTTCATCAAATATTTTGG